TTCCGCGGGCCCTGGACAGCCCCCCGAGCGCTGGTTTGCCGCGCCCCCCCACCCCCGCCTTGATGATGATATGTTCGCCCAGGCAACGCCGGCGCCCGAATGCAACCGCGCACCCGAAGTCCCCCTTCAGCGGCCCCACGGGCGCATCGGGGCTCGCGCGCGCAAGACTCGGAATTCCTAAATTTGCCCCACGGGCCTGCCTGAGCAATCCCCGGGGCCCCGAGGTTGCCGGCGCCGGAGAGGTCGAGGGGCGGGTTGGCACCCTGGGCCCTCGATCGAGGAGCCCGCTACTCATGCGGCAGACGCTTGAACCTCCAACGCTTATTCCACGAACCAGTTCTACGAATGCCAATAACATCGATCTGACGCCAGAACGCTCCGCGGCCCGTCGGGGAAGGAGGCGCCGACGCAGGTTCCTCCCGGGCCCCGCCCCAGTCAAAGGTCGGCGGCGCAGAGAGGGCGGGCGCCGGCGACAAGCCCGCGTTCTTTGCAGCAGCTAGGCCAGAGACGCTCAGGCACTTCACGCTGAACAGCAAACAGAAACATATATGCTACATGCTCCTGTTCAGCGTCGCAGAGAAAACAGAATCCCCGACCGCCCTCTTCGCCGCCGTGCCTGAGATCGCGGGCCCCCGGCCGAACCGATCCCAAACGGCGATCAGCTTCCAGGGCTTCTCGGAGTCGGTCCCGCGAGCGTCGCGGATCGCGAAGCCGCCCCCCCCTTCCTCGACAGATCGCCGTCGCGGAGGGTGCCCGCAAGCTTGCTCGCGCAAGCCCCGGCGTCGAGGTCATCGCGGCATCCCGCGTCCACCGCGCCCCCAAACACGACGCAAAGGGCGGGGCGCCCGCCCGCCGGGACACGGGCCCGGTGGATTTCACGGAGGACGACTTGGACATGATTCTCCTGGACCAGCCAGAACGACCAGGTGAAGCCCATGGGAAAACACCACGGCGCATAGAAACGCATTCATCGCCCCTTAAATTGATGGCAATTTCAAACGGCACCCCCGAACCGATCAAGTCAGCAAATTTCGCGTCCATCTCGGAAGCGAAGAAGTCCGAGAAGGCCCCCAGGATCCCGTGCTCGTAGAAACAATACGCACTGCCCGCTTCAGCCCACTGAGCGGCCTTCCAGATGGGGACCCCTAAATCGGTTAAGCCACTGCGACCGCCATGCTCGAACTGCGGCGGCGGCGCAAGACGAGGATTGCATTGCCTGCTGTCCGCGACCAGGCGCTGCGCGCCAGACGTCTGGCGGGCGGTGGACGCCCCGATCCCATTGGCGGGTTTGGGCTGGTGAGCCTCGCGAGATTCCCGGGGGCCATCGTCGACGCGAAAGCATCGAACCGCCAGGGCCCCTCAGAAACGAATCCGCGCAGGGCGACGCCGCGGCGGCCTGCCCAGACAGAACTCGCGAGGCCGCGGCGCGGACGTGAACGCGACCCTTTGAATCTTGCAGCCGCTCACGGGGCGCCAGACCGAGAGCGCATATACAGGTTTACGCTCTGAGTCTGGGAGCGACGAATTTTGCATGCCAGTGGGGGCCCTGGGCCCTTGCCCCAGACCCCTCGCATGCGCGCTTGAAAACTCAGAGCTTCTCGAAGGCTCCTGGGCGGGAAAATCCAAGGGGCAAGGGGCCCGGCTCGCGAAGTCGAGCAATTAGGTGCGCCGAGACAGCGCGCTTGCACTGCGGCAGGCGCAGAAGCTCACGCGCGCCCGGAAGGGAAGGCCAATCGTGCGCGGAGTTCAGCGCGTCGACCGAACCGTCGACGCTTCTGGCGACCGCCAACCAGCGATGGGCCCGTCGCGCCGTCCAGCGGCCCGGCCCCGCCTCGCGGTCCAACCCCATCTCGGCGAGCCAGGATGGCGGGGAGATGTCCCGCTAGCGGGGGGGGTGGCAGCATCTGGCCCCGAAAACACCGGGGCCGCTGGAGCACCCCCGCCCAGGCTGAGCCCACCTGAATGGAGCTTCGGCCGAGCCGGGGCAATTCATGGGCGACTAGTCCTGTGCACAAGCCATCCCAGGCGGCCACGCCGCCCTCCTAGCCCTTGTCTCTTCTGTTTGTTGGCTTGCCGCGAAGGGCGCGGTGTTCGGCCGCCTTCCTCTTCTTCTTCGCAAGCTCCTTTATGCCCGCGAGGCTGTCGCATGTGACCGCCCGCTTCTGGATCAGCGCCAGGTTCGAATCATCGTGCATCGGGCAGTCGCGAGATGGAATCCCCGGCTCCGTCAGCCACTTGGTGTCCTACGCCCGCGGCACCTCGGCCCGCTGGATCGTCTCGCGGCAGCGCCGCTCCGCCTTTCGCGGGCCCGCTGGCGGGGAGTCGTCGAACGCGGCCATCGTCATAATTAATTATCCTGCACTGACTTGCGGCCCCCCTGCCGTCGCTGCCCGCCGGGACCGTGCGCCCCCGAACGCGTTCGGGCGCCATCTCCGACCCCCTGGTCGCTCCCGCGCGGGGCTGTCGCCGCCCTGCGCCACTTGATCCGCTCCGCGCAGCACGAGTCCACCTTCCCATGGAAGCTCGCAAGCTGCTTAGCCAATCCAGGTTGGGGCGCCGGCATCCCAAGCAGCACCCGCAGCGAGAAGGCATTCAGGATCCCGGCGCTGGGCGGCAAAGTCACGATCTATTCGACGCTATGCCTGCCCGCGTGCTCAGCGATGACCCAGCTCATCGCCGCCGCCGGTACTGCTGCACCTGGGCTTCCGCTGCCTGCCGCACCCGCGGGCGCGGCCGCCGCGACCTCGGGCGCCGCTGGGGCCGCCGCCACGGGCACAGGCCTGCGCGCGACCAACGCTATCGCCACCGCGAGCACCTGCTGCAACTCGGCGTCGGTCGGGGCGTAGATGTTGGCGGCCCCGATGCCGATCGGCTGATCCCCATTGTGTCTAAAGAACCTCACCATCGCGAATGTGCCCACGTCACCGCAATCCTCATCATAGACGCGATAGCCTGGGCTGGTCGCGATCGCGACATCTCCACTAATGTCAGTCAAGAACTGCCAGGCGTGTGACGTCTCCTCCTCCGCGCTCTCGTATTTCGCAAACGTTGTCTGCAGCTCCTTCGCCCTTGGCCCCGTCGGCAAGGGCCACCCGCCCGCTCCAAGAAGAAGCAGCACTAGACTGGGAGGCCCCGGCGGCCCTGCGCCCACAAGCGCCATTGGCGCACGTCGGCAGCACCTGGGCGATGCTGACGAGCACCGCAACAGAAGAACATATGAGCAACTCAAGTCCAGAGGTGCTGCCGCCGTTGGGCGCCTCGCACACGCAGTGGTGATGACAGACTGGGGTCGAGATCTCGGGGCAGGTCGCTTCGGCGCGGCCCACCTCGCGCGCGGGCGCGGCCGCATTCGAGAATGCCCCGCGGACCACCCAGGCGGCGAAGGATGTGATCGCCGCGAAGTTTCCCTGGCTCGCTCACAGCATGTGCTCGCCCCGCGGGAACGGCCCGCGCCCCTCTTTGGTCCGACATCGGCCGCGGGACGGACGACGAATACTGTGCCCACCGCAGTTACATCGTCATCATCATCATCATCATCATCATCACCATTACACCTGAGAAAACCCAATCAGTGGATTATTTGAACATTGTTATTATGAATATTGAGATCGATTGCGAGATCGGTAATGAGATCGATAGTGGATTCGGTCGCGAGGACGATTGTAAGGTCGATCGTGAGACCGAGAGTGAAATCGTTTCAATGAGATCGATAAGGAGATCGATCGCGAGATCGCTCATACGATCTCTAGTGAGATCGATAGTGAGATCACTAATTAGGTCGATAATGAGATCGATAGAGAAAAAGGTAAGGAGATCGATGGTGAGACCGATCGATAAGAAGATCGACCAAGAACCCGGAAACCCGGGAACCTCGCCGCCATCCGAAATCGGTCCGGAAACCGGAACCGGGAACCCGGGAATCCGGAACCGGGAACCCGGGAACCCAGCGTGCGACCAAAATCGACGGGGCACAAATCCTTCAACATCCGCGAGGACCCCTTCAGTGCAAGCGCTGATTGGGGAATCATCATCATCATCCTAGTCAGCATCACCATTCTCATCTGCACCATCATCATTATCATAATCAACATCATAGCCGTCATGATTATGATGATTTCCGTGGCCAATGGAACAATATCCCAGAGCGATTCAATGCAAGCTTGCCACCACAAGTCACAGAGAGCTTTGAAACTGTGTCCCAGGGAGGGTTGGGTCGGGAGCAACAGAAGGCTATGGAGCATGGAACGGGCGCGGCTGCCATGCACTGCTACCTTTCCCCCTACTCGTGTCTCAGAACGGCCCCCAGGTCATCATTACTGCGCGCCCACTCTCATGATGATGTCCGTGGCGAATAGAACGATATCCCAGAGCGAATCAGTGCAAGCTTGCCACCACAAGTCACAGAGAGCTTTGAAACTGTGTCCCGTACTTCCCCAAGAGAATGTCCCCAACCTCACAGATGTTTTGGCCTCGGGCGGGCTCGGGAGGGAGAGGCCGTTGTTCCTGGCCGGGATGTCGATCGCGCCATTGAACATGCCACATGCTTTCGGGCCCACAAGGATCTGAAGGTGTTCGCAATAGCGGAGCACAAGCGGGATGGATAATGTTTAGCACGGTCAGTATTCCAGCCACTTTTGTCTTTCATCTCTAGGTGTTCATGAGGCTTACCCGCACGCGAGCACACGCCTGACATACCACAACATTTATGCCGCAGGAAGGAGTCGTCAAAATCTGAAGACATGAGGAGGCCCGTCCGCTTCTTGAAGTCAGTCCCGAACTGGCACTGGTCGAGAACAACGAACTCTGCAAACCTTGAACTGCTGAGGTGCTTCAAAAACGGAATGGACCAAAGCATGGATGAGGCAGGGTTCTCTATCATGAAGGGTACGTCATATCGAATAGCTTGCCGAACGAGTTTGCATGTTGCCTTAGCGAGTTGGTTGCCCTCAATGCACACCTTCCTATCCTTATCAGAGATATTCAAGAAGCCCCAAATGTGGTCAGGAGAAGGGACAGCACTGGGCATAGCCGAAGCAGGAAGCGCTCTTCTTGCAATGCTGACAGATCGGCACGGCGTCGCCAGGCACGCTCCCTTCACACGGCCTGAGCTCACCAGCTTCAGCAGGGGCCTCCATCACTCCTGGCGCGAGCAGGTCGAGGCCGCTCTGCATCTCCACCTCTAACGACGAGATGCCACACCTCGCCGCCGCCTTGCCGACCCCCTCGGAGCCGGCAAAGATGTCAAGGAAGATGTCGCCGCGCTCCAACCAGGCGGTCGGGGCGCGGGGGCCGCGCCGAGGAGGATGTTGCCAAGGTCCGCACAGCAGAGCCTGAGGTACTCCTGGACGCTGTCGTCTAGGTTCACCAGCATGGAGTTCACCTTGCTCGACTTCTCGTACCTGATGAGCGAGCTGATGCTGGCCCAGCGCCCGCGACGTTGCACCCCCCGCTGCGACCTCCTGCCCGTGATGACGTCCCACGAAGGGCCTGCATGCCGCAGGCTGTAGGGCACGATGCCCAGGCCCTCGAGGTTGCACACCTTCAGCGCCTTGGCGATCATGGCCCCGAGCTCTGCCTGCGTGAAGCTCCACAGCGGCTCGTCGGGGGCCTTCCCGCGGCGGTGCAGCTCGAAGAAGTGCCCGAGGAACTGCAGGTTCTCGTGGTCCATCGTCACGCTGTCGTCGTGCACGCCCATCTTGGTCGGGTCGCCCTGGCCGTCCGTCGGCCCGAGGATCAGCGACCACTTCTGGCACTCCGGCCCGTAGCCAAGCGCGGGAGGGACGACGTCGCGCACGCGGAGACCACGCAGCTCCCCTGGCCGCAAGTAGGCGCTGAGCGCGACCAGCGCGGCCACCGCCATGTCCGTGTGGTCCAGGAGGTGAAGGCCCACCGCCAGCCCGCAGATCGTTGGACACGGCGGTGGCAGTCGGCCCAGCGCAGGCCGCCGACGCCCCCAAGCCTTCAGGCACCTCTCGAACCTGGCGAGCGGCTTGGTGTTGGGCCTTTCGAAGTTCGGGTAGTGGTGCAGGACAGCCGCCTTCATCTTCTCGCCGTCGTGCTTCTTCCTGCCCTCCAAGAATGCGTCGTCCGCCCAGTCCAGGAGCGCTGTCTCCAGGGAGTCCAGGGTGCAGGTGCTCAAGCCCTGGCGGCGGACGAACCCATAGAACTCCTCGATCCGCCTGTGGTAGTCCTCGACCTGGACAGGCCTCACCGCGATGCTCTCGAGGAGAGGCCTCCGCTGCTGGCAGATCGGCGCGCGGCAGCCTGCCTTGTCGAAGCTGTGACCCGCGATCTCTGCGAGCCGCCTGGGCGCTCGGCTGGCGTCGCCGGGGGGCGGGGCAGGATCGCCTGCTCGGGCGGTCCTGACCCTGCGTCCACCAGAGGCTGCTGCCCGCGAACTCGAGTCTCCAGGCTGACCAAGTGCATGGCGGGAGCGGTCTCGATTCGCTGGGCCACGCTGCGCGCCGTCACGCCCGCAGGCCTCCTGCGAATCGCACCCGGCGCCCTCGTGACAACCCCAGGCACCAGGATGAACAAGCCCAGGGGGAGGACGCCATGCAGGCCCAGCATCAGCCACTGCTGGCTCCCACTGCCGCGAAGGTCGATCTGCAGGATTGACCTCGGACGGGATCCAGCGAAACTGCGCCCGCAGACCAGTGGCAAGCTGCAAAGCAGCCATCTGACGAAACTGACCGAGGAGAGCTGGGTCGCGACATCGACCCTTCTGGAGCGCCAGCAGCAGCCCCATGTTGTCGGCCAGCGTGAGGACCTTCCTGTGCCGCCAGCGTCCACGTCGGACCACGTGCTTGAGGCCGAGCATCGCGCCCCTCGCCTCCTTGACATGGATGGCGCCCATGTGACTGCCACAAGGGCGCTTGGCGACCACGGCCCACCTCGCCTCCTTGACGGCGGCGGGCTCGACATCTAGGAAGTCCCCGACGGCCAGCCAGGCGCTCTCGTCGCTGTCAACTGTGAGGTTGTCGTCCCTGTCGACAGGAGGCTCGGCGACGTCGTAGCCCGCCAGGGCGACCTCCCTGTGCTTGCGCTGCGGGTCCTTCTTGAACCTCCAACGCTCGTCGTGGGGGCCTGCGAGCTGGATAGCATGCGTGGGCCACTCCGCGACACAAACACCAAGACCAGTAGTGCTCGCATCAGTCGCCACAACCTGGTGAAGCCAGCCCGCCGAGATGTCCGCGTAGACCAGCGGCAGGATCGCGGCAGCGATAAGAAGCCCCCTCTTGACGCTGGGCCAGATGTTCTCGCAGTCGTTACCAGCGGACTCGGCAAAGGCAAATGCGGCCGCAATGCAGGATAGACACGGGCGGCGCAGCAAGAAGGCGAAGCACAAGTGACCCAGGATGGCCCGCATCTCCCTCCCAGTGCACCGCCCCCGCCGCACAAACGCGTGCAGTCCAGCATAGATCCGCCATGCTCTCGCCGCGGACAACGTGACCACCTTCCTCTCGCCATCCAAGTGCACGCCAATGATGTCCAAGGAGGTGCTGACGCGCTCGATCTCGTGAACGTGAAACCCAGCCTTCTTGACGCCCGTCGAGCGCTTGGTGGTGCATAGCCTCGACCTCGGCCATGTCACAGCCGATGGCCCCGAAGTTGTCAGCGAAGGCCATGTGCACGGGCCCTCCGCCCAGCGAGGGCGGCGGGGTGCCGTCGCGAAGAAGGCGAGGAGGAGGCAGGCCAGCGCGACGCAGAACCTCCTCGTGCACCAGCTGTGCCGCCCACATGGCCCACGAAAAGCCCATGGGCAGAGACTGCAGCGCCGGGTAGATGAGCTCGTGGGTGTCGACCTGGACGCCACTGATGCTCCCCACCCCGACTGCCGACGCCCGAACCGCTGGTAGCGCGAAGTACTGCGAGAGCTCCTCATCGATCCTGAGTTCTTGGAAGTAATCCTTGATGTCGAAACTGGCAGAGTAGATGGCCTGCTCGGAGCTGCTCTCGAGACGGCTGAGCGAGTCGCCAGTAGCAGGCTGTATGAAGTCAGGGATATCGAATCGAACGTTACTCCGACGTGCATCACATCTGAGTCGTAAATCACCACTCTTCTTGCGAACGAAAAACAAGCCAACCCTTTCTTTGTAGGTTCGGGTCCAGCGCGCCAGTCCCCTGTCACGTAGATCCCGACAAATCCCCCCCCCCACATGGCGGGCTGTGCCTCCAGCACTGGGTCAAAGTAAAGGTTGGGCAGTCCCTCGCTCATGATGCGCAATGCATATTCCTCGTCACTGAGAAGAATGGCGTCGCGAAGCCGCTTGAACTTGTGCGAGGCGTCCGAGGGCAGAACCTGGTAGATGTCCACCCCTGACGAGTCGCGGCTCGGCAGCGAGACTGGCGCCGAACCAAACGGTGCAATGTTCCCAGCGCGGTCGCTGTCTCCGCAGCGAGCGTCTGCGCGCAGAAGCGCCGCGAGGGCTTCATGCGGAGCGGGCCGCTCTCGAGGCAGGGGCGCGGCCGACGCGGCATCTCGGGCCAGAGCAACAGCAGCGCGCGCCTGCTCTCCACCTGGGCCACCGAGCGGTGCGCTGCCAACGCCCCCAAGCTCGCTGAGAGCCCAAACTGTCTCGTCGACGCGCCTGTCAACCCACGCGCGACGACAAATGCGCTGCTGAACCCCGCGACTGAGAGCGCCACGTGGGACTTCAATCTCGCCCAGCCTCGGCAGCGGCAGCAGGTCGCGCTGGCGACCATCCGCCACGCCTCAAACAACATCTCGCCGAGATCCTCGATGACGACCCCGACTGCGTTGAAATAAGCGCCGAAGCCTCCGAAGACGACCTCGACTAGCTGGCGGCCCTGAGCGGGCCACGAAAACATAAAAGCCGCGGGGCGGCTAGCCCTTGCGCGCAAGGGCCGCCTCCTCGCGGGCCTTGCGTCGTTCCTTCTGGATCTGCGCCTCGCCCTGCAGCTGCCCAGCAACGTGCGAGGTGCGCATCGGGGCCGCAGCGGCGACCCTCCTGCCGAGCCCCTGGAAGTGCTGGCCCCCCTCGAACCTCGGCGCCTTCGGATTCGACGTGTAGGCCTCCTCCAATAACTGAACCCTCCGCGCCAGGATCTCAAACGAGGCCAATGATGACACATCCAATTGATCATAGGTGAGAGCATACTCGAGGATCTCCATGAGGCTGCCATGCTCGTGCTTGACCCTGTCGTTGTCAGGTACATGGGCATCCCGCATCCACTTATCGGTCCTGGTTCTCGGCACCTGGCCCTGATCACGAATGAACCTGCAGAGCCAGAACGTGGTCCTCGGGCCCTGGATCGGGAAGTCCGCGAAGCGCGGCTCCTCGAGCAGGCCCACTGCATCGACGAATGAGCGAAACCTCTTGCCCATCTAGTCATAGAGCACTGGCAGCACCCGCGCGTCCGTGGCCTTGAGCTGAGCTCCAGCCGAGGCGGCTGCCGCCCCCGCTTGTGGTCCAGCTCCGTCGCCCGACGGCACAGCCACGGCCTGCTCCAACTCGCCCCTCCTGGCCACCAGCTTGAGCTGCTTGCTGCCGGCGTCGATGCTCTCCAAGACGAGGGTCGCGGTGCCGAGCTTGACAAGCGCGAAATTGCCCATGATGACTGCACTCGCGTCCACGCTCCAGTCCGCTCCGACCGCGGGAGCTCCCGGCTGCCCATCATTGGCAACCACGATCCACTGGCGGTGAGCAGCGGCAGCGGCCCCTGGCAAAGCGGCAGCTCCCAAGGGCGCTCCAGCCAGCGGGACGGCGGCGCCTCCGCCCGCACCGGCGAGCGCACCCGCAAGCGGTGCTGCCGCTGGCGGCAGCGGTGGGGGCCCTCCCGACCCAGGCGGCCCCGCGGCAATGGGCACCGCGGCTCCGTCCCCTGCACCAGCGACGGCAGCAGGTGGCCCGCCTGGCAGTCCAGTGTCCGCGGTCCACCCATGCAGAGCCGCACGGTCACGCACGGCGCCAGACTCTGCATCAGCAGCAGCGTCGTCGACACCCCTGTTGGCCCTCTCCATCTCGGTCGCAATCCCATCCTCGAAGACCTGGCGCCATTCCGCTGGTGTGTGCAGCTGTCCGAACGGCGCGAACCTGTACAGCAAGGCGTTCGCTGGGATGGAGGGTGGGATCGACCCCTGGAAGCACGGCTTGCAGTTGAGCTCATAGATGTCCTCTGGGTAGACGTCCCCATCAGGCGTTGTGATGACCCAGGTCGTCCCCTCCACCCTGCAGAGCAGGAGGCGCTCGTGCCAATACGCCTCCCCGCCCCCGTACCACACCAGGACGAGGCGGCCCGGAGCGATAGGCCTCGCCTCGGCCATGCACAATGCGCCGAAGCCCAGCGCCCCAAATCGCCCCCACGCAGCAGCCCGCAGCAAGCCCAACCAGGCCAGCGAGCAGCACCGCGACGAGCCACCACCTGCTGAAGTCAACCGCCACCTCGGGGCAGTTGACCTCAGAGCAGCTCGGGCAGCTGGGGCAGGTGGCCCCTCCCAGCGTGCAGGGCGGGCACTGCAAGGCAGGGCACGCCAAAGAGGGAGAGCAGGTACAGCTCGGACACTCGGGGCAGGCAGGGCAAGTCTGGGAGCCCTAGCCAGCCCACACCAAGGTCGCGACGCTCGCCGACCGCAGAGCCTCCCGCGCGCCGTCCAGCAAGGCGTCGGGCAGCCCGAGCCAGCCGAACATGCACGGATGCCACCACGACTGGCCAGCGGCGCGCAGACCCTGGAGCAACAGAAGGCTATGGAGCATGGAACGGGCGCGGCTGCTATGCACTGCTACCTTTTCCCCCTACTCGTGTCTCAAACGGCCCCCAGGTCATCATTACTGTGCACGCACTCTCAACATAATCATAATCGTCATCATCATCACCACCATCATCATCATCATCATCATCATCATCATCATCATCATCATCATCATCATCATCATCATCATCATCGTCAGCATCGCTGTCATCACCATCATCGTCGTCATCATCACTAGAATCAGCATCATAACCTTTCTCGTCTTAAACATCAGCATAATCATCATCATCTGCAAAAGCATCATCCGCATCATCATCACCACCACCACCATCACCATCACCACCATCAACATCATCATCACCATCAATGGTTAGTATTCTCATCACCACCACCATCACCATCACCAACATCATCATCACCATCATCATCACCATCATAACCAACATCACCATCATCACCACCATCATTACCACTACCAACACAATCATGATCTTCATTCTTATTACCATCACCCGTCAACGCAGGGGCTGCGAGTGGAGGGTAAGCATGGGCACTTCGTCAGCTAGCGGCGGCAGAAGCATGTGCATACTGGCATAAATTATTCGCCGGCCCAACGGGCCAGAGGCGTGCTAAGATCTCCGGTAACTTGTTGACAATATTTCTAGTTCGCGCGTGCGGAGCGGCCCCTGGGGGCCCCCGGACGAAAATTACCCCGGCAAGGTCCCGAGAGAAGCCCGGGAGAAGCCACCAGACCACTCCAGGGGAGGGTATTTTTCGACACCCCTCACGAGGATCGTGGCCTCCGAGGGGGGAGCCGCAATCGACTACCCCCAAGAGCCCCCCAAGAGGCCCTGGGGGCCTCCAAAACGCCGCCAAGGAGCCCCAAGAGACTCCCAAGAGGTCCCCAAGAGGCCCCCAAGAGGCCCTAAAGAGGGCTCCAGGGCCGGCGGCATGAGCGAAGCGATTAAATCAACGGCTGCGTTGTCCGCAAGGAATGGGAGTGGGGAGCACCAGACTTTGAAGCTCCTCCAGGGCCGCACATCTGGCCACAGACACCCCGTCCCCCCAAAACGCCGACCACCGCATTTCCAATGTGATTTCATTCGGCCGAAGCTTCGACCGGCGCCAATGTGTGCAGCTCAGAGGCAGCTCCGAGCGAGAGCATGCGAGGGCGGGAACAATTTCGAACAGCACTTCGGGCTCAGGCTTTTCTTTGCAATGTTCGCGAAGAGTGCACATCGCATGCGGCAGCCTACACGTACATGTAAAACTTGCCAAGAGCGGAGGGGCGTCTGATTCCATCACAGGCATCCGCCGCAAGGAGAGTGCAAGGACAAAAGACAGCGCAATGCAAAATGTCGGTACCTCCGGCTTAATGTACAACACTATGAAAGTTCTTGTCATACACTGGGACGCCCCGATTGCTGGCACATGAGAGTAGCATGCCAGGTGTACTGGCGGGAAAATCTACTGATGTCTTCCCATCCCCATCCATGATCAGCTTGCGGGATGGGCGCGACCGTTCGCAGTCGAAGAGGTGCTCAAGGCAGCACCCGGAAACCTGCATGCTGAGTTTGGCGTGAGATGCCTAATCAGTCAATCCACGGAAAGCTCAGCAAATTCTCGTATGCCGTTCCACGTCTTGGGCGCCTGCCGAGGAACATACAATGCACTACAAAGCCAACTACATTTCGCATTACAAAAACCATAGTTGCCCTAGCCGGCAAATTTCGAGGCGGTGGCTGATGAGCCGCAACTCCTGCCAAATATGTGGATCCCGCTGAATTTCCGCAAGACGGCAATTTCCTCATCCTGCATCATGTATCACAGAAACCAAGGCCTTACATGCCAGCTCCCCAGGAGCCTTCTGCCGGAGAGTCACTGGGTTGGCCAAAACATTCAAGATCGACAAGCTCTGTTTCAATGCCAAGTTTCTCTGTTTCGGGCCGACGTGGAGCGAGCCCGCGCAAATTTCAGAACAGACCTCGCGGGACATTTAGGACGCTGTCCATCACGCTGGCGGCTTCAGTCAAAACGTGGCTACAAAAATGCGGTCAAAAACACGATCCCGTTCGGCTAATGACCGGGACCCCAGGTGGAGATAGCCCGAACGAACAGCATTCCAATCTCGGGCTGAACTGAACATTTGCTCCCGAGCTGCTTACGAACATCCGAACACGCACATGCTTTTCACCCTTCCGAGAATATTCGAAAGCGCGCCTCAATTCCAATGTGAGCAGAGCCAGAGCAGGAGGGGCGCGAGGGTTCAGCCACGCGCAGAGGGGGTTTGGGGGAGGGGGGAGGGCTTGTTAGAAGCACCCCTGCTTCTCAGAAGTCGCGTACCTTATCTATAGATGTTAGGCCGGCGCCTTCTAAGAAGCAGCCTCCTTCGAAGAATCCCTCACCCCCTCCCTCCACCTTCTCGTGCGCGCCGCCGAAGGGTACCCCTCCGAAGCTGGGGCTGCTCGTGACCCAGTGCCGGCTGTACTCGGACCACGGAGAGCTATGCACGAAGGCAAGCCTGCCTGCCATGCCGACCTCTCCTTCGGCCCACTCCGCGCGGGGGGGGGGGGAGGCACAGTTTCCCCCGGGGCCGCAGGCGACCCGAGGGGGAGGAGGAGAAGGAGGAGGAGGAGGAGGGGGTGGAGGTGGAGGGGGAGGAGGAGATGGAGATGGCGGAGGAGGAGAGGAGGAGGAGGAGGAGGAGGAGGAGGAGGAGGAGGAGGAGGAGGAGGACAGGTCGCCTAAACCCTTCGGAGAAACCCTGCCTGGGGGGGGGCTCCACCTTGCCCGACGATAACAGGCGGCGAGAGGTCCGGCGGTCCGACGACGGCGGCGGCGGCGACGACGACGACGACGGCGACGGCTCTCCGACCCGCAGCCCACATGCACCAGCCGAGCTGCCCCCGCGACTGCCCTGCCCGGATGGCTGGCCCAAGTGCGCGCTGGGCGCCCGCCCTCATCTCCCGCGGGCGGCGCGCTAGCTGGCAGCGGCAGCGGCCCTCCCCTCGCGCCGGGCGGGGCGGTCCATGAGCCCACACGCTTGGCCCCGGTCCCAGACATCTGACAATCTTCTTGTTTCAATGTGCGGCCCCAGAGGTCTCAACCCCTTCCCCAGGGCCAGTGTTTCGCCCTCCGGACACATTTTGATGTCCCTGGGGCTCGAGAGTGGGCCCCAGAGGTCGAAATCGAGTACAAACCTGCGAATTGAAAAAATCAGATTGTCTGGGATCTCAGGTGGAAGGAAAAGAGAGGAGCAAGAAAAACGTTCCTAGGCTCGCAGAAATCCTGCCCCATCTAGGCCGCCCCCTTCTGGGATTCGAGCCGCCCATTGGCCTGCAGGGAGTGGCTGGCCATGAACTGCAGCAGGGCCTCGCTGGGTCCGTCCTCGTACCCGATGCATGCCTTGGTGCCAGACAGCATGGTGCTGGCCACCTCCCACTCGCCCTCCTTATAGTTCTGGTAGCCCGCATTGAAGAGCTGAAGGGCCACACTTCTTCATCTCACCCTTGTGAGAAAGGGGAGGAGGGGGAGGCGGGAGCAGGTGGCTACACGTGAACCACTCGGAGACCGATGTCTAGTATCGGCTTTGGCGCAGCGGTTTCGGGCTTCAAGTTGAAATCTACGGACGAGTAATCATCAATACTAGGGTCTTACTCCAGCGTCAGAAGAAATGGGCCTAGGAGCTCTCGTCCTGAAGGTGTCGGGTCATCTTTTTGCAATGTGGCCTGCACTGGCTAGTCAGTCCTGCGTCCAGCAGTGTTCAAGAATGCCAGGCAGGTCATAGCTTGAGACTTGAAACCAAGCTATCGGCATTGATGCCCCTAGCAGCGTAAGCGTTTGAGCAACATCTTACGCGTGGCCTTTTTTATCGCATTGGATACCTGGGCCACATGGTTGACATACTCACGGCGTGGCTCTGCAACAATGCATGCACACATCAGGGCCCCTGGGAGCATGCAACCCTGGAGTATTAACACTGGCCTCTAGTCGAGACTGCGAGACGCAGCCATCGGTGGGATAGCGGGACAACTCCTAAGTTCAACCAGAAGCACACTTATACCTTCTGCCACCTTGAGAAGACTTGTTTCGTCTGCACGGGCTTCTAAGAACAAGACAGACGTTCCACTTGCCCTTCGGGTTGTGCATCTTGCATATGACCACACGCGGTGAACAACCAACGCACGGAGCGTCAAAGTTCGAATCGTGAATACACTTGGTTGCAACCTCATCGGATGGCACCCCAATGGTTGGAACCCTGTCCAACGGGGCCCCTCTTGTTCGGGAGACTCTCGAAATGGAGGGGGACCGTATCGGGCGGGACCCCACATATCATACAGTCGGGCCGCTGAAAGAAGGAACGCTAAATAAGGAACGAAGCCCCTTCTTGGCCCCGTAAGCGCCTCCGTGCCCCAGGAGGGCAAGAGGAATCTAAGGAACATCGAGCCCCTTCCGAACCCAAACTGTTCCTTATTTCAACGTGTTGACTGCAAATTACCTCACAGGGTGGGCCACTTGGGAACCAAATCAAGTGGGACCATATCGGGCGGCACCGTATCAAATGCTACATTACA